AAAAAAAAAAAAAAAATTCAGGTTACCCAGATTAAGAGAATTGATAGTTAAGACAGACCAAGAGTAATAACTTTTAGACATCTGTAGACCCTAGTTATTGGGGGTGCTGGACTCTTAACACTTTTCGAAGAAAAGGGGTAAATCTTGTGTTTCTTAATTCAGAAGGAAAAAAAAAATCTGCCACTTGCAATTTGGCATGGGCCAGAGGCAGTACTATCAGTTACACGCCTCTACAGTGTGATATTGAGTGATATACATGGAGAGAATCTGCGCTATATTTTATGGTTTACTGTTTTGTGGAAATGAGGCCTTTGACATACAAGGTAATTATTGTTGGGGACTCTGCTCAACAGGAGGCCATCACCTAGGCCCCATGCCAAAGGGAAAGCTTGTAAACTCCACTTCCCTGGAAGGCTGATAACTTGTAATAATCATGACATGGATTACTTGGTCCTGCTGGGTCCCAGCTTGTGAGATTCTTTCTGATCAAAGTTACCATCATGAGCAAACTGTGGGTAAATAGGTTTTAATCTCTGTGTTTGTAAAGTTCTATTATCCTGGTCCAAGAGATTGGCAGTCTATAACTTCCTTTTTTTTATCTTTTTTTTTTTTTTTAACACAAGCATGAAATTAATACTTTTTGCTCTAAACTAATTACAGATTCACAGGAAGTTGCAAAGGTAGTATGGAGATGTCCCTGTACCTTTCACCAAGTCCTTCAGTGGTTACATCTTACATAAATACAGTGCAATATTAAAACAAGGAAATTAACAACGGTACAACATGGATATAGATAAACATCATTTTTTTAATTCAAAAATTTGACTTGCGGTAAAATATACATAACATAAAATTTACCATCCTAGGCCAGGCACAGTGGCTCATGCCCGTAATCCCAGCACTTTGGGAGGCCGAGGTGGAGGCGGATCATGAGGTCAGGTGTTCGAGACCAGCCTAACATGGTGAAACCCCGTCTCTACTAAAAATACAAAAATTAGCTGGGCGTGGTGGTGCTCACCTATAGTCCCAGCTACTCAGGAGGCTGAGGCGGGAGAATTGCTGGAACCCGGGAGGCGGAGGTTGCAGTGAGCTGATATTGCTCCATTGCACTCCAGCCTGGGTGACAGAACAAGACTCCATCTCGGAAAAAAAAAAAAAATTACCATCCTATGTTTAGGTGCACAGTTCAGCAGTGTCAAGTACATTCACATTGTTGTGCAACCAATCTCCAGAACTCTTTCTCTTGCAAAATTGCAATTCTATATGTACCCTTTAAATATTAATGTCCCATTTTCTACTCCCATCTCCTGGAAACCACTTTTCTATTATACGTTCTACTTCTATGAATTTAACTACTTTGGGTACCTCATATAAGTGGAATCA